AATTTGTGCTGACAGATTTGGAAACTGATAATCCACGATGGGGCTTTTAAAAGCCCAGCTGAGGCCACCAGATCCATTTGTAGCAAGGTCCGTCTCCATCGTAATCTCCAACAGCCAGAAGAAACACCACCAAGGGGCTGAGAGCAACCACAAGCCGCAACCATGAACGGCACAGAGGGACCCTATTTTTATGTCCCTATGGTTAATACCACTGGTATTGTCCGGAGTCCTTATGAATATCCTCAGTACTACCTTGTCAGCCCAGCAGCCTACTTCTGTCTGGGTGCCTACATGTTTTTCCTCATTCTCGTCGGCTTCCCCATCAACTTCCTCACCCTCTATGTCACCATCGAACACAAGAAGCTGCGAACCCCTCTAAACTACATCCTGCTCAACCTTGCTGTGGCTGACCTTTTCATGGTGTTTGGAGGATTCACCACAACGATCTACACCTCTATGCATGGCTACTTTGTCCTCGGGCGCCTTGGCTGCAATGTGGAAGGATACTTTGCTACCCTGGGTGGTGAAATCGGTCTCTGGTCACTGGTTGTTCTGGCTGTTGAAAGGTGGCTGGTTGTCTGCAAGCCCATCAGCAACTTCCGCTTCGGTGAGAATCATGCTATTATGGGTCTGGTCTTCACCTGGATCATGGCCAATGCCTGTGCTGCCCCCCCTCTTGTCGGCTGGTCTCGTTACATCCCAGAGGGCATGCAGTGCTCATGCGGAATCGACTACTATACCCGTGCGGAGGGTTTCAACAATGAGTCCTTTGTTATCTACATGTTCATCTGCCACTTCTGCATTCCTCTTGTCATTGTGTTCTTCTGCTACGGCCGTCTGCTCTGTGCCGTCAAGGAGGCTGCTGCCGCCCAGCAGGAGTCCGAGACCACCCAGAGAGCTGAGAGGGAAGTCACCCGCATGGTCGTTATCATGGTCATCGGCTTCCTGATTTGCTGGACACCGTACGCCAGTGTGGCCTGGTACATCTTCACACATCAGGGTTCTGAGTTTGGACCTCTCTTTATGACCATCCCAGCTTTCTTTGCCAAGACAGCCTCCATTTACAACCCAATGATCTACATCTGCTTGAACAAGCAGTTCCGCCACTGCATGATCACCACCTTGTGCTGCGGAAAGAATCCCTTCGAAGAGGAGGAGGGAGCATCCACCACTGCCTCCAAAACCGAGGCCTCCTCTGTGTCCTCCAGCTCCGTGTCTCCTGCATAAATGGAGCAACAGGCACAGGCTTCATAATCCACTATCCAAGAAGAAGACTTCCGCTCCCCCAGGGAAACGACTGAAGGCTAACGTCTACAGAAATAACTTCCTCTTTTTTATTTGTACAAACGACTTGGTTCAACCTAAAGACAGTTGCAGGAAAGGTCAGCCCATAACAGAGTTGTTCCTGTATGTACAGAATATCCAACTTACCAGTCTACGAGTATTTATTTCCTCAGAATAAAGGGGAATAAATGTTATTCTCTATCAGTTGGATCCTATATGATACTGGCTTATTTTTGAATGTAGAGGCATGTAATCAAGGCAACGTAAAATAAATCGCACTTTGCAAATGACTCATCCTGTTTATGTTTTAATTATAACTTGGGTGGAAAAGTTCATATGACTGTAGTATATTTATTCAAATAAATAAATGTCAATGACCTATTCAAAATGCATTTATGTCTGGAGTCAATTTCTACTTACTCTACTTTTAGCCTGCTTTGGTGATGTCTACCTCATAAATATATTATATTACATTTTTAAATAACATTTAAAATATTCTTTATGTGGTGCCTCCAAAGCTAATATAATCTAATTTCAGTCTCAGGTCACCTTGGATTTAGATCCTAGCAGAATAAAGGGATTAAGATATTAATCTTAACAAGGATACATATAAATATAAATGGACATGACACAACATGGTTTATCTGATTACGAACGCTGCCTTAGACATAAAAGGTTAATAACGATTAAGGATTAATACTTATTTATATTACCAAAAGAGACCTTCAAACAAAGGTTATGCATATGGAGAAATACAAATGGTGCACAGAAGAATATACTGATATTGTAACTAACATGATTTACCAGAAAACTAAAGAAGAGTAAAGAATGGATCATAATTTAACAGATAGTTTTAGACAACAAGAATAAAACTGAAATCATTACTAAAATATGAGCTCATTGCTCTGGGATTACACATGCATAAATTATTTATTCATAGATTAATATTCTTTTTATTCCCTGCATGAATTTTCAACGAGAGGACTTAAAGTAAAACAGAACCTTCAGATCCAAAGAGTTATTGTGAGAATGAATCATTGCTTATCATTTTACACAATTCAAATGTGGGAACTGCATAAAGTTTCTCTTTAACAAAAAAAAATCTCTAACAGTTGGATTCTATATATGATAAGTGTTGGGTATGATACATCCATTTGAAAGTAAATGTGATGCTTTCAGCAGCAAACCCCCCCCCCCAAAAAAAAAAACTACAGAAATAGAAGAAAAGGGTTTTCAATGTCGAAGTAATTTCTTCTCAGTGGGTTAGTTCTTCCAATAAGACAAATGGATGGCACATTTCAAATTGAAATTTAGTGTGCTTTTTTTTTTTTTTTACAGAAAGAGACAAAGAAAATAAAAACGCTTCTCCTGGGACAAGCAGCTATGTAGAGAACTGAATTCCTTTTGAATTTGTATGCAAAACTTTATTTGATAATAAAAATAGCATCCACAGACTTCTTTTGATAGCTACATATACATTGTAATCCATCTGAAGGAAAAGAAGCTGGATAAGTCCACATCTACTTTTACTTTGACTAATGTTATGTATAGCTTCATGGGTCAAATAAAGCTATGGACAATGTAGTATTTATATATGCATAGTTATATAAAAAAAGATTGGCCCATATACATGTACTGCTTTTATCAACACAGAGACAGCATTATGTCTGGAGCACACTGCAAGAAATAATGCTTGAAGAACACGGACTGCATACAAGTGCTTTATAATACAAAGGCAGGCTAACCATAGAGAGATTCAAACCATTTAACAGCTGTTGATTGACCAAATACAGTCTTTCATTTTTAAAATGTCTTTATATACCCGACCCAGAGTAAATCAACATATTTACCATAAATTGTCAGGTCCATTTCAGAGATATAAACACAATATCACATTCCTCACTGCAGAGGTTCTTCATAAATTTCTGTTTTGTGCAAGAAAAAGGCAACATTTTATTCCTTGACAAGTTCCTAGTAGTTACATTGGGAGAGAAAATCTCTTTACAGGTGATGACCAACCTCCTAACTGTGACTCTCTCTCTCTCTCTCATTTTTTGTTTGGTTTTGTATTTTTATTGAATACAGTACCATGGTGACACCGGTGATGAAACAATGCATTTGTTGTGGTTCATCCAATATATAGTTCTAGTTTTCAAACAAAACATAAAACGGAGAATAATCACACAAAATCGAAAACATGAAAAAGCAGCAGTCAGACTTCAGTGGTGTGACAGTGTGGCTCAGAGTGGCAGAAGTGGTTGTCTCGTCCAGCAGGACTCACTGTACGTTACCGTGCCAACAAACCTCATCAGCTCAATGTGTCAGGGCCCAGAGGATGGACAATGGGTGTGATAAATATGAGAACTGGGCTAGAAATAAGTGTTGAGGATTACAGTGTTTCTTTAGGCCTAACAAGGTTGTTACACTACATTTTAACTTACACATGCATCTTGCACAGGGATAATAAATTTTTTATTTTTTTTTTGGCATATCTGAACAAACGTACTTTGTGGCAGCTTCAGCTGGCAGTATGGCAAAAATGCAGACTTTTCTAAATTACTACACAGGATTTTTTTTAGAAATTTGGGAAACTCACTCTGTCATGAACAGATTCGGATGTAGTTGAAAGAGGCTGCTTCAGTTTAGAGAAGGGCAAAACTAGTTATTTGGTTTAAACAAAAAGTCTCAGGCCCCAGCTATACTACTCTAGATATTTTCAATGCTTTCGTCCTTTGTTAAAAAAAAGCCTATCTGTATTCAGTAGTACAACTTTTAAATGTTGCAATAACTGTGCTTCGCCAGCAGGTGGTGATAATACTAGCATTAATGACCATTTAAAAATAATTTTAATCCTGGTTAAAGTGGTGCTAGGGGTAAAGATTCTTTTAAAACAACTGGCGTCATATTTCCTTTCACTGAGTTTGTCCTTTGCTCTCAGATCTTCTTCAGCTTATATTTGAAGCTGAATGGGAGGAGAGTCTGGACAAATCAAGAGCAATGTGGGAATAATTACTCCACTGTTACAGTTTGTAGCACAGAAAGGAAGAGCAGGCAATTACAAAGTCAGATTTTAAGTCACAATTTTGGTTAATCACCACATATCCAGTAAACACATTTATAGCACACATTGACTTTTATTTTATATATACTGCTCAAACAAATAAAGGGAACATTTCACTTTAATTTTGTGTGTGGCTCCAAATCCAGGCCTCCATTGGTTAATAAATTTGATTTCCATTGATGATTTTTGTGTGATTTTGTTGTCAGCACATTCAACTTTGTACAGAACAAAGTATTCAATGAGAATATTTCATTCATTCAGATCTAGGATGTGTTATTTGAGTGTTCCCTTTATTTTTTTGAGCAGTGTATATTCTTCACTTTCTTTTACCAAAAACTCAACTCCAAACTAAACCTCTCTAGATATATTAAAAATTGATTGGAATAAATAGATCTACTGTGAGATATAAGGTTGAACACATTTGAAAAGGAAAAGCTGTAAAAATTAGTAAATATCTTCTTTAACTTCAGCCTTCTTTTGAAGAAATGAAAAATTTAATTGGCTCTATTGATGCCGTGGTTTCTAGCAAAGAAATGTGCATCAGGTCTAAGAAAAGTGTTTCTCTAGGTCATTGTTTCCTATATAATCTTCGGACATCCAGTGAAGAGGAAGTTTTTTTTTACCAATCTTCGCTTCAGAGTGCTTTTTTATATGTATTTTTTTAATCGGAAAGTCTGTGGATAGAAGGTGGAAGCACAGCAGAAAACATCTGTGTTAGTGTAGAAAGGGCCTCAGAGTCACTGAAAATATTAATATGGGCTGTCAAACAATGATGCAACACAAGTTGAAGTACAGCATGCTTACACTTCTACCTCAGCCCTTAAAGATTTAATTAAGCTCACTCAAGATGTGAGTGAAATTCAAAATAAATAGAGCAAAATTAGAAATTTCATATATTATTATTATTTATAATTTAACGCTCTAGTTTCGCCATCCAATTTAAATGTAGAGCTTTGCTTTACTCCCACAGTTCTTGTGAACCATCAGTAGCTATAGTGTCAGTAATTCAGGAGCAAAAAGGACACCTAAAATCATTTCAAAAACAAGCTCAGGACTTAGGATTTACCACAAATGGAAGCATTATTCAGACCTCTGAAGGGAACAAATATTTAAAGTCAACAATGCCTACAAAAAGCAATATTACTGATTTCATATGCAGGCACATACAATACCTTTACTACAGTACAACAACCTCTGTTATGCTCAAAATAACAAGAACAATGACAACACAACCAGTATAAACTGATAGAGGGATTGTACTCCTGCTGTTTTTATAAATCTCTAGATGGGACCACAAGTAGTTTAGTCAATCAAATCAATTCATAAACAATTCAACCAAATAAAGAATAAGAGTTAGTATTGTTACAAGTCCAATTCCAGTGTATGTTACGTAGTTTGCACGGACAGAGGAGAGAGCAGCGAGGGTACTCTTCCTCCCTCTAGATACTGAGGTCTTTAGAATTTTCTTTGTACAGCCTTCTCTTGGGCTCAGGGATCTGGTTTGAGCTGCGGCCTCCGGCGTTATTGATGGGTCCTGTCTTGTTGTAGGTAGCATTGTTGTGTGCAGCGTTGTTCTTCATCATGCTGTAGTAGTCCTTCAGTCTGGGCGCTGCTGCATAGTTCAGCTCACCCCGGCTATAGTTGCTGTCAGGGGAAGAGTCCCGCTCCGATCTGTATCGCCTCTCCATTGTCCCGTTCATCCGGTACCTCTCCTCCTTCCTCTCCGAGGAAGAGTCTCTCAGAAGATTGCCGTTCTTGGTAGCTTTCTCATACGCACGGCCTCTGGGGAGAGAATCCCCTCTGTTGTTGACGCGCTCTGGGGTGGACGACTCGCTCACTCGTCCAGCTACCTGGGACTCCTTGAGGAGCTTCCGTTCAAAGAGTTTCCGCTCAGGGGTGACCGAGAGGAACCCTCCATCATCGTACTCCTTCTCAGGTGTGTGGTCCCGGTGCGCACGCTCTGCCCTGCGGTCCATGGATTTTGCCCGCCGACGATCTGGAGACGAGTTGCGCTTCCTGGTTGGTGAGCGATCGAGGGAGCCACGACGGTGCAACTGAAACCTTCTGTCCAAGGTAGAACTGCTGCTCGAGGGCTCTCGACCCCGCAGTTTTTCGGCAGCAGCAGCCTTCTTTCCCGAGTTGTCCTTCCTCAGAGTTTTCAGGAGCTTGGAGATACCACTCTCCGATTCAGACTTCTTGACTTTGTGGCCTCGGCTCTTCTTGTTGCCAGTGTTGCTGTCGTTGTTGTCGGGAGACTGCTGTCGGAGGGTACTTTGACTGTGACTGTTATTCCAGGTGTGATGATGATGGGGATTAAACTGCCGGCCGTGGAAGTCCATCAGATCCGAGCCAGCCCAGTCCCTGTTTTTGTCCATACCTCGGCCACGTGCAGCCTCCTCCAGGCGTGATGGTTTGTGAAGGTCTGGTGGATAACTGGACTCCAATGAGGTGTGGTACCGGCTTTTTGGTGGCAACGTTCTCACTTCCGGAGTGTTTTGTGCCCTGGGTGTGGGAGGGTGCCCGTCACTGCTGCCGTCTGCAGGAAAGGAAAAAAGGGAGAAGGATTTGATGAATGCAAATAGATTTGCGTTACATTTACTGCATCTTGCACAAATGACTTTTCTGTTGCATTATGTGATTTCTTGCACTGGCACAACACATATCAATGCAGCTATGAATATCATGCAAAGATGCGTTCTTTTAATATGCTGCATGTTTTCCAAATAAACAAGCAGCCTTTTCTAAATTTATATGTCAGATTCAAATTTAAATCATTGCAAAAATAATAAAAAAAAAAAAAAACACAAATCTTCTCTGGGACTTGAGTTTACATGTTTAAATGGGTTACATCAGCAAAAGCAGGAGCAACACATCAGCAAGTGAAGGGCAGCGGTTATCAATGACACAGCAGGCACCTAGGAGGTCATTCCAAACAGTATGACAAAGGCACACCAAAACAAACCAAAACCAAATTTAAAATGTGCATTTGGCTGAATGTCTGCCAAATAACACAGGTTGGTATGGCAGCAGCATGTGATGAGTGGTGGCATTAAGTTAGTTCCATGAAAAAAAAAAAAAAAAGGTTTTCTTTAAGTGGCAGGAGGGTACTGTTTATATGGACTGACAGAAGCCACATAAGTACAGTTTAATTCAAGCGTGATGAGACATAAAGTATGTCTACAGTGTAAACACATCCGCACACAAACACAAACAAAGTAGGATGCAGGTCAGGATGAGCTGGAAGGCTGTATAAAAACTCAAAGTGAGGCGAGGGGAGATGACAGGGAAAGTGAACTGGGACAGAGTTGTCGTTTTTTTTTTGTTTGTTTTTTTTTTTTCACTACAAACCGTTGTCTGATTTTGGCCCATTAGGTAGAAACAGGGCTCTCCCATCTTGTCATTCCTCAATGTACCAACAGCGAGATGAGGAGCCATCATCGCTGGAGAGAGGAGGAAGAGCCCAGCAACAAGAGACGATCAGAGAGAAGGAAGGAGGAGGAGGCGAGAGAAGAAGACAAATAGAACAGACAAGCTGTTTTACAGTACATCCGTTGAGAGAAGAAGGGCTTTGGTGTGAAAGACAAAAATATTCTTCATTTCAATTTTTTAAAATTATCCCCAACAACATAAACTTCTGGATTACTATGAGAAATAATACAACAGTAGAGAACAGAGCTACGAAGAGCAAAGGCATTGTTGAACCTATGGAGCATCTTTACTCTCCAGCTTCCTGTATAAATCCCACTATATATGTTTTAGTCATTCTTTTATCAATACAGATCTCCTCACTTATTGGCTTTAACTTAAAGGTAAAAAGGTAGTGACAATTTGTATTAATCTTTCTGAAATCCCAATCCTTTCTTGAATACATTTATTCAACAATAAGAAAAATGAGAATTCTAAAGAAATATGGATTAGAAGGTTAATCTAGACACACAGTTCAGGTGTGTCTCAATGAGTGCATGGCAAAATAAACTAGAGATACAAGATGATCTTGATTTTAACATGAAATTTCAGTAGTCTCAGATCAACATTGTTTTTTTTTTTTTGGTTTTTTTTAACGTAATGATCTAGAAAACATAGCAAATCAACACATAAAAGGCTTGACAGAGACAAAATCCACCTTCTTTCATGGTCATCTATGCAAGTCCTCAACCAAAAACTGAAGCTGAAGAGAAGAGTGCATAAAAATTCTGGCCAGATCTCTAAAGACTGCAAAAAGAAATGGCAAAATATTCCTAAAAAGCTGGATTTTTCAAGTTTTCTGCATGGGGCCAATACAACAAAATATGCATTTATTATCCTGAAATATTGTTAAATATGCAATAAAGATGTATCTGTTCAAGGAAATACATATTCTATTCCACTGAGTTTACTACATGAAACAAATGTCAGACTTCTTTACTGGAGGAGGAGAAAAGCATCTGCTGCATGTTAACCTACCATATTCAGGTACAGATCCATCGCCTCTCTTCAGGACAAGCCGCGCCCTCCGACCTCCGTTCTTGATCAGTTCAATGGCTCGTGAATGCTTCATGTTCTTTGTGCTCTCACCGTTAATCTCCAGAATCTCATCTCCCACCTACAACAGAGAAGGTAAGTAACTGAGACAGCTAAGTGATAAAGTGGCCTCATAAATAATGCAAAAAGAGGAAATTTGGCCTGGCAAAATGTTCTTAGCAGAGAATCAGAGGGAACTTGTAAGTTTCATACCCTCATCTTGCCGTTTCTGACAGCAGCCCCATCCTCGGCTAGTCTCAGCACGTAAAGGTCCATGTTGTACTCCCGGCCTCCCCTTAGGCTGAAGCCAAATCCTTTGCTGTCCCTCTCAAGGTCCACAGAATAGTACTCGGCATCCTGTGGTGTAAGAAAAAGTACATATCTACACACAAGAAACACTAGGAAACAGTGACTTATTCATTGTGCTGAGGACAGCGAGGGACAAGTCCAAACTTCAGAACTAATCAAGTCGTGTTCCACAAAAAAAAAAAAAAAAAAAACTCAAAATGGCAATGGCAGTACAATACAGTGGAATGCATGAATAATTAATGCAGAAGTACATGTGAGCAGGGTACAGATCACCAAGCAAGGGCAGCACAAGGGCTGCACCCCAAAGTTTCCACACTCATCCAAAGTTTGCTTCAAACACAAGATTTCTGTGTGAGAACATAATTAGACTAGTCAACAAAATGTTAGAGAAAAGTTCATACCAATGTGGTTATATATAACGATATCACTATATTCCTTTCCATCTTTTCTTTGATAAAAGCAAAACTCTTTCAGTTCGTTAATAAAGGAACCAAAATAATGACTGAGCTGACTTTGAAATGCCATCACTGTGCAATGCAGTAACAAAGTCACACATATTTAATGTTTTCTCTGACATCAGTTTTACCGGTGTGCAAAAACAATGGAATAACTGCTCTCACTTATCAGGCATTTTAACACCTGTCAAATATAAAAACTACAATCTATGTTTTGTTTTTTTTGTGAATCCGAACAAATGTAAAAAAAAAAAAGTAGTTTAATTGATGTTGCTGCTAAATAATAAATAAATCATGTCAGTTTCCCCTACAGCTCACTGCCAAGCCTTTATGTGCACATTATGACTTTTTTTATAATGCTGCTAAAAAGGAAATGAAATGAAAAGTTCAACTCATCCCGTGGTTTAATTTGCATTCTTAGCCTTCAACTTATCCCTTCTATGTCCATCTCTCGGTGTGTTACTGCCCCCTACTGATTAGTAAAATAAACTGTGGTTGAAAAGGTCTAAGAATATTTCTGTCTTCTTTTACCCAGTCCCTTTTTTAAATTACAGATGGACAACACAAAAGTTATGCTCTTTTCAAGAGACTCACTGTTGTTGTCATAAGTCAATTTGTATTTGTGACAATTCACAAATTTCCTCACTACAAGAAAGATAAACATTATTTGAGTGTTAGATTGGCAAAATATCACAAAACTAAACAAATTTATACAAAACCAATATAAAAACAGCACCCTTACGAACCAAATTAAACAGTGTATAACCAAAAATAGGTTATTTGGGCTTAGACACACTATAACTAATTTTGAATGTTTTTCCCAGAACACTTAAATGATTCAACACATTTGTTATAGTTTTAGGCAGACGTACACCACGACTTCATGTACGTCTTAACATATACATGGCAATCACAAGTATAACATCAATTAACTGCATTGAAAATACTGACACTTACCTGCATTTGAGTTTGTGAAGGAGGTGGTGGAGGAGCACCTTTTGACTTTGAATGATTCCTTTCAGAAAGAAAACAGAAAGATTTAACATGTGTCAATGTATATTATGCCACATTAAGCTTTATTATTATTACCTATGACATTTGAAAATTAAAAATGTATCAGCACCTACCTTGACTCTGTGGTCTGAGGTGTGTGTGTGGTGGTGATGGTAGCTATTTTATCTGCATTAGTCAGCAGAGAAGCATTGGAAGATTCTGAAAATAGGGGGAAAAAGAAGTTAAATTAAGTGAGTGTTTTTATTAAATGCCTCAGCCCGGAGCGATGTCTCAAAAACGCACTGTGCTGAACCAAATGTTCAAAAGAGTTTCTTAAATCACCCTTAGGCAGCTGCATTGATCTGATGCTAACTGTGTGTGATGATGTCATCTGCTATTTTGCTCACTGACAACACTGGACCCTTTTGCATGGATCAGAAAACAACACAAATGTAACAAAAGGCTCCCTCTCATTGTTTTGTGTTATTGTGACCAGTTTAAGGTACATCATTTTAAAAAGGCTACAGTCTAATAAGTGCCATACTTTCAGTTGGAAGGAGTATAGCTCTAAACTATCAGCCTGTTTCATTTTTCTTAGGTATGTTTGTCACTTTTTACTAATCTCCAAAAAGATTATGATTTCCTTGCTGTCCTACAGAGATCAATCCAAGTCCCTCTTGTATTGTGTTTCTAGTATATGTTCACACTGATGGTGGCTCTTGTCACCAATTTTGGCGCTAATCTTTGGAAAATTCATTTTAAACTGTTCTGTATCTGTTGAACCAGTATTAATTGTTTTTTATTTGAACATGACATACAGTGATTTGCAAAACTATTCAAACCTCACTAACCTTTTCCATATTATGTCATGATGAAAACCCAAACTTCAGTGCATTTTGTTGGATTTTTGTCTGATAAACCAATACAATGTGAAAATACAGATGTTAACTGAAACAAAAAATCTGTATTTTCTCTTCTTTTTTATGCCCTTCTTGTTACTGGCACTATTTTATTTTTATATTTGTATTTGTATCATGTTCGAATAAAATTTCATTTCATTTCATTTCATATATAGTTTTGAAGTGAAAGGAAAAGAAAAAAAAAAGAAAAATGTGAGATGATTATGTATCCAGGCCCTCTTCTCTCTTATACACCTGCATACAATCCAGTACAAGTTGTCTTTAGCTTTAATGTGCACTCAGTTTATGATCAGCTGTTTTACATAGATTTGTTATAAACAATAGAGCACAAACAACATAATGTTTGTGCTCTACAGGATGTTGTAGTGCACAACATCCTGTAGTGTAGTTGTTCTTGGTCTGAAGTTGACCAAGAACAACTTCAGATAATTCAGGGATAATGATTAAAGTAGAGTTAGATTGTAAACTAAAAAAGAAAGAGCATTAGTCAGAGAAGGAGCCAGGAAACCAATAGAGAAGCTCTAAACTAGTTATAGATATCAACTTCTCACATAGGATAATATAGATAAAAGTGTATTCCTGTGTTTCAATGGCCTAGTCAAAATCCAGACCAAAATCCAGTTGAGAATATGAAACCAGACTACAGAATAATAGTTCTCACACTGGCCCTGCATCCAGTCTGACTGTATTTAAACTGTTTTTCAAAGAACAGTTTGTAGTTGTACATTGACAAAATGTTGTTACGTTTAACAGCCGTCAAGACACCTGCAGGAAACACGCAGCTTTGGGAAGTTGACTGCTTGTGCTGAGATATTGTATTACATTTAGTAGTAAAAGTTGGTGAAATTTAGCACCAGAAGAAAAAGTGTTTGTGTTCAATCCAGAAACTAAATGGACAAAAAGCAGAGAAAAGGGAGAATTTACTTTGCTTTACTCCTACATAGTGATTTTGCTTCTTACACAAGGCTCCACACCCTGATAAAAAAAAAAAAAAAAAAAATTCTCATGTCTCTGAAAAGCATCGGTGCCCTTTGCCTCCCACTACAACCATGAATAAGTCACATCGTGATGCATTATGAAACATCCGTGTGATGTCGAAAGATGAGAACCTTACCATCGCCCGGAATGATCCTGAGTGAGACGGTGTTGCCAGCCTCCTTGATCAGGTTGACAATGTCCGAGTGCGACTTGTTCGTGATGGAGCAACCGTTAACGGCCAGAATCCGGTCCCCGACCTTCAGCTTCCCGCAGCGGTCCGCCGGGCTGCCCTCTATGATGCGGCCTATTTTGTGGGGCATTGCCACACAAGCATTTCCAGCTTTTTATGTTAGATGTGTTTGTGTTTATGTATTTTTTTTTTCATGTTAAAGACAGTGTGCGGTATAGATTTGTTTGATTGAGATGATTATTTGTGTTGATTTGCATTTAGTGTAAGTGGGAAACAAGGAGAAAACATAATGGAAGAAAGAAAAAGGAGGGTAGATTAATTATTCAAATCACCAAGTCCCAAGTTCACCAAATGAAAGTGAGAAACTATTGGAGTTTGCACACAAATTAAAAATTTTTTTTTAAAAAAAAAAAAAAAAAAAAAAACAGAAAAGAGAAGTCAAGCTATAATTGATGTACTCCTTAAAAATGCAAAGGTTGTCCTCTTGTCCCACAACTTGACATGTTAATTAAAGATCTGTGAATCTGATGTATCATTGGATCAATGGGTATTTATACAATCTGAGCTGTGGTGCCTTGGCTGAGATAATGATAAGAATTTAAAGGGAAAGTTCAAAAGTTTTTAAGTGAGCTTGTGTTAAAATATCATAAGTAGCTCATATCTAACCCACCGTAACATCATAAGAAGTACATTTCTAACACTGTACTCCTCAGGACTTCTACTGTTTAAAAACAACTCTGATCTCAGACATTTGCTTAGATAAGTCTGAACGTGACTATTTGTTGCTGCAGCTTTAATCAGATGAAAATAAACTTATGGTTTCAACAGGTGTTTGTTTCAGAAGTACCCAAAGTGAAAAAAGGATTATTTCTGTAATCAAATGACTATTTTCCATCTGTTACCAACAGACAAGGCATCAAGAGAAATGTGACTGAAGAATCTAAATTTAAAGCAAGCACCGAAAGTGCAACAAGTGTATTCTTTTATCTTTGTAAACAAAAGCTCAGAGAGGAAAATCAGAGCTACTGTACCATCAGAGAAGAAATGTCCATCTAAAAAATACTATCTCTACAGCTAAAAGCAGATAGATCAGATATAATTTCAGGTATAAGAAATAAGAGGTAATAGCCATCTTTCCATTGCTAACAACATTGATAACCAAAGCAAGAACAATATATAACTAAAAATTGCCAGTTCAGAATTACGTAATTTAAATTCAAAAACAGCAAGTTAATAGTAAACCATATTCAATTTTATCTCTGTTATCCATCCTTTGAAGTGGAGTTGATGAGTCAGTTCAATATTGGTGTGTTAATGTTATTATATTATCCAATTTTAAGTACAAACGTTGATTTAATCTGTATTTTGTGCAAGACTCATTATTTGTTTTTTTAGGTGTGATGGTCTGGAAGCTGTAAACAACAATTTGGGTTATTGATAGATTGTCGATTTCTTGTGAGAAAGTTAAACACTGCACATGTGATACAAACTGCTTATAACCTTTTCACAGAACCTCACCATAGTCTGAGCTATCCCTTTAAGACTTTATGTCAGACTAGTCAGGTGGGCACTGAAAACATGACAGGACATTGTTGAATCAAAATGAGCTCAGGACTCCTGACGGTAACTTAGGGAAAATCCCTGCTCTCTCCAGTTGTCCTTCTCCTCCTGTTTCACTTTCTCTATCTCTCCTACCGCTTTCACTCAGCAATCTGTGCAGCATCCATATTAATTACATAACCTTTCTTCACATTCACCTCTCCTCTGCCTCGATTGAAAATGCACTTGTATGCTGTCACTTTATTTAAATAATGAGTTATGGGACATTACAGGGCTTGACAAGGATTTAACACCCAATCTGCTAAGCACAACACCAGCTCTGGGTCATGGAGCGAGGGGATCAGCTGGGGGGGATGGGTTTTGATAGACTTAAGGGAAAATGGTTTTTGTCCCACACTTACAGGGAACTCAATCAGACGAAACTGCTTTTGTTTTTCGCAGAACTGACAGGCATTAAGAAATCCTGAAGGAACGCTCAGAGTAATGTCACTTGTTAAAAATGAATTCTTGACTTCAGCCCTTGTCCCACACGGTTACAACCCATTAGAGGAGCGAATGCTGGGCGCTAAAGCAGCAGCCTTAGTCACGCCAAGCAATAAAGGAGGAGCAAAGACACTAAAACACAAAGGGGAAGAAGGAAAAACAGAAACCATTTAAAGCCTGAAGAAGATCAGACAAGGTCGTTTTCCAGGACTGTCATTGTTAATAACACATTAATTCTAAAATTGCATTCTGGAAAGCAACACCATTAGCTCCTGGGATCAGTGGAACCTCCTCAGGACACTTAGTGTGGCTAGAGTATCATCCAGTCTCGTCTTTCACCTATGACACATCGCATTACATCACCGTAACAGCTAAATACACAAGGGTCCTTGATATGACATCTGTGTTCATCACTCAGAGCTTTATACTGAATTTGTTCAAGGACAGCTTGTGCAATTTCTCCTCAAAGCCTGACCGACTTTACCGAATGCATGTCTGGTGTGTTGCTACGATGCATACAAGTTTAAGATTGCCATCGGTGGGATTGAGTATGTGGTGGAAATATTGCTGAGGGCCAGGATGAGGAGTACATCTTTTCATATGGGTGAGAGAGCAGCGGACTTTACAGAATTCTGGCTTTTCTGCAGGGTAAACAAATTTCATAGACCTGTAATCACCTACCGAATGTGGTGCCAGCATCAGGCCGGGAGACGGACGACACAATCACAAAACCGAAACCTTCGTTTTCTCCCCGCTGGATCTCCACGTCGTAAGGCTGCAGAGAGGCCGGAATCACAGCGCTCCCGCTGCCGCCTCCACCGCCACTGCCTATGCCGCTGGTAGATCCACTGCCAGAACTGACTGTGTTCAGTGAGTTCTGACTCCCCTGAGGGGTCCGCTTGCCTTCTGTTAGGCTGGGAGCCTGGGTGCTGCTGTGGTGTGAGGAGGCCGGCGATGGGGGAACGTCACCTTCTCCCTTTGACACTGGGGATAAAGAGGGTGAGAGCACAGTGGTCAGATAAATGAACTAAGAAGCAACTGGCAACAATATGTTTACAACACAAATGTGACCGTGCGTGACACATAGATAGATGTACATGTTTAACGAGAAACTTTCATCACCTCCGTATCCGGCGGTCTTGCGTCTGACCGTGAGGTTGACATGACCCTGTTTGGCAGCCTGCTGCATCAGCTGAACCACCAGCTGGTGTGACTTTCCCACTACCGCTGTGCCATCCACACAGATGAGCTCATCACCAGACCGCAAGCGGCCATCTTCATCTGCAGCCCCGTACTTCACTATGTGCCCAATGTAGATCTGGAGAAAGACAGAAATGTTTCACTCAAGAGACTTTTTACAAGTAAAATAGGAAGTTGAGAATCTCAATGTCCAGAAGCCAACTAAAACAAGGAGTTTAGTTGCATTATTTCACTGTGTTTATGAGTGAAAGGAGAATTTTCTTTGGATTCAGTATTGCAGAGCTTCCACTTATGCCCTCCCTGCAAAGTACTGCTTAACTCTACATGCTAACCTCCTCGGCCTAGGATATACCAATCTGCCGACTGAGCCCAGACTGCTCTGGTCTGGCCCATCATATCAAAGCAGACTTTCTGTTTGTGAAGTGTTTGTGGACCAATCAACAAACCAACTTCATGTGAGGCAGGCTTGAAACTTTCTACCACTTTACTTTATCCAATTGCAAGCTTTCTGTCATTCTTCAACTTGCTTTCCCTTTCAAGACAAATATATGATGCACAACAGCACAAGGATCGGAGGATACGGCCTTTGCTTCTCCTAACAAGCTGTCTGTAAGGTTCTCTAGAGAGCAACAGCTCCAGTAGGGAGTGGGAGTAATTTGTTAAGACTTTGTGCTATTCTGGTGTAAAGGCAGACAGAACTGAAAAGACAGGGGGGGGGGGGGAACTAATGAAGCAAGCAGCCTCAAACTGAGGAGCATTCAGAAAAGTATTGTTACTTGATGTAAGCATTTATCTACACACTTCTCTATTAATTTGTAAGCATTTACAGTAAATAATGAGATTTAAAGGTGAAGAGACACTTACAGGTTCCCCAGGCTCATTTCCTCCCAAAATGCGGAAGCCAAAACCAGTATCCTTTCGCCACAGGAAAATGTCTTGCTCCTGGCAATCTGGCACTGAAACATACATAAAAGAATCAGTGAGATGTCTCCTTATTGATCCATTACAAACCTAGAAGTTAACATGTTTGCTAACTTCAACCAGTGCATCATTGTTCATTGTGTCTTATCCTTTTCTCCTTTTTGCAAAGGCACTGTCATGGAAATATCCAACATACATTTGTGCTTTTTCTTTGCCTTACTTTCTTATAGAGAGTACAACAGGCACAGTACTTTTTGTTTTTAGTCCTTTCCTTCCTGGAGGAAGCCATTAAAGGAGTCTCAACTAACTCCCTTCAACCCTTTTTTTTTTTTTTTTACATAGAAAATACACAGTCTGGTTAAGAGCTTCTATACGTTTGATCTGTGTCTACTTCTCAACATTTTCACAGTATTGTCAATTTCTTCATATTTTTTTTATTATTATTACTAATTTGAACATTATTTAAGTTTTAGGTTTTCATTCTGACTTTTATTTTATCTCTTCTATTCTCACATGTAATTTAGAAAGCTTTTTGCAAATGAACCATTGTTGGCCATTTGTTTTACACCAAATAAATTATTTTATTGAAAGTCAAAACATACCTAATTCTATTTAAGAACTCATTGGTCAGTTTAGTAACATTATGGTTTGTGATTGGTTGCTTCTATCGTCTTGTGCATGTTCTGTTCAAGATGACCTCAATGAAAACCTAAAAACTCACCTGAAGGAGATGTACTATTAATTTGTATTTACAACACAAATCTGAACTGCACAGATTGATTTTTTTTCTTCCATTTCTGTGTCTTCTCTGCTTTACATCTTACTCAAACATGTGCAGTGTCCCACACGTTCGCATCTTGCCACAGAGTAAGCAGACTGTGGAGGAGGACGCAGGCAGTTCAGTGTCAGTCTGTTCAGCCCACAGGGCCAGCATGCACAGGAGGCACAAGGCCTCCTTTAATGCACCGCCTGCTGTCAGCACGGCTGCCTCTCGAGGCTCGCAGTGAACCCGAGTCCCTCGCCTTCATGGTTAGTGGTTAGTTTGGATTAAAGTCACTGCTGGGGTTCTAATTAACCCTCAGTCCACCTGTGAGGAGTAGTGATCAAAGCTTTGTGTATATATTTTAAAGAGAGAAGTAGCTGGACTTTCTCTTGGTTTCTTTATGAGAAGCCATCGCTTTTCCATTTCCATGGGTCAGAACTAAGGCAGCTTCTTGGTTGAGAAGTGAAAAGAGGTGGGGTATGCCTTGGACAGGTCACCAATCTGTCATTGGACACAAAATACACAACACAGGACAAACACTCACAACAAAGGGGCACTAAGCGAAATCAATTAGCCTGGCAGTCAGGTCTTCGGACTAGAGGAGAAGGCTGGAGCAGCAGGAGGGAAAGCACTCTTACACAGGGAGATACACAGCAGGAACAAGCAAACTCTTTGAAGAAAGATCCCAGACTGATGTTGACCGTGCAACCTTACTGAGAAAATAATTAATTAATTAATCTTTTAGTATAGGAGCAGGGACACATCTAAAATCCTGAGGGTTTGCTCCACTTGCCCTTACAACTTTCGTCAGTTTTTGCTTTTTTTGACACACATTAGTGTTTAAGATGCAACAGGACACCAATGGAAATCATAACAGCAGGTCCACCTCTAATTTCATCAGAAAAAAGAAAGCTTGGAATGGTCTAGTCAAAGTTCATACAGTGATTGAAATGCTGTGACATAACCTTATGCTGGTTTTGACGCAAACAAACTGCACACTATGGCAGAATTAAAATGATTCTGTAAAAAAAAAGGCCAACACTTGTATCTGTTTGTCCCTACTGACCATGTTAATCATTTTCTTTTCATGAGAAACGCCAAAAAGAAGCCAAGCGGCTTTCTCTTTCTGCTCTTAGGATTCACCCTTCCATCACACTCTCCTTCACTGCAACAGTGCTTTTCAAGTGCATACAGTGGATGCACAAATGCATCTGCTGACGAACTCGAGCAGTGTTGGCTGGGATGGGGCGGGACGAACAGCATGAAAATGGAGTCAGGAAATCTAGGGCTGTTAGTAATTCTGTTTTCCCTCTTTCTTGTTTCATTGTGTCTCCTCTTGCTCCCCTGCTGAATCAAAAAAGGGGCTGTAGCTTCTTCAGAGGTTATCAAACATATACACCAATCATCTGCAGCTTAAAGCAACCCTCTCAAGACCCAGTTAATATTTAATTAGCAGCAGTCCTAGTTTCTTCTTGCTGACATTCTTATTAAGGAACTCTGCAACATGCGGCTGGTGCACAACTAGCGCATCTGGCCAAGAACAGTAATTCGACAAGCCAACAACAAACTTGCCGCGCACATCATCCCACTCTGATTACATAATGGCTTTTTGTTGCGACATGAAACAGGATTTGAGACTTTATAGCACTGCATACTTTTCTGACATATCACCCACAGTGGGTGAAGGTCTGAATGATTTAGATCACACAGACTCTCCTTCTCATCACAATTTCAGTGTTTCTCCATGAATATTGCAGGAACAAGCTATGGACTAGACGGGATATAAAAGAGCTTTATAGCTGTAATCTGAGGTATCAATTGTGGGTTTTTTTTTTTAGTTTGCCATCTGACTAAACTTTTCAATGCATGAGACAATCTCTTTTGCTTCGTCTGACAAGATTATGTTTTATCTTCCAACATCATGTGCGTCCACCTTTGAATTTGTGACCTTTCATTTAAAAGATTTGCATGTCAGATTTTGAAGAGGAAGGTATTGACGGTGTGTGTATATGTGGCAAATTAAAACACATTACAAGCCTTTTGACTAGCTTGCTCCCAAGGACACTTCTCCCTCGAGGCTGCTTTTGTCACAGAATCGGATGTGACGATGAGCAAAAGCTTGAAGCAAGCACAAAAAAGTCCTAATATGCGACACGCACATGCCTGAAACCTTTCAGATAAGTTTTCTTGTAGATTTTTGACTCAAACTCGTTAGACCACACAGCAATGTGTGGTTGCTTTTAAGAAGAAACCTTCATGGAAGATTTATCATGCCTCCAACAGGACCAAAGAAATGTACTCACGTCGACTTTCATACATGCTCCTGGACTGGGCCCAGATCTTGAAAGGGTCTGGCTTCTTCTGGAGGGTGAGAGTGCCATCTGCGGGGTCCTGGGGGGGCAAGACCGGCAGAGGCTGTGTGGGAGCTGCTGGAGTTGGGACCACCGCCTCACTGGGCATGGCAGAGGGTGGGTGGCTAGGAGAGTCGGTGTGGGCGCTGCGATGGCTGCACACGCTGTGCTGGGAGCTGCTCTGACTGTCCTTTCTCTCCAACTGGTGCTGGATGGATGGGGGAAAAAAAAGAGAGACGTCTTTGAGTGTAAAAGAACCAGGGATGGAAGGAGGGGGGTGAACTTATAGGCATAAGATTAAGAAATAGGGGAGAAAGAGGAGAAAAAAGTAAACAAATCGAAGACAGGAGTGAAAACAGAGGACAGAGAGAGAAAGGAAGACTGTTCAAGGTCATCTTTTTTAGATATTGCTGCAGAACATTTCTCACTAAAAATGTCTACTGAGGTAAAAGGAGGGATGGCATGGTTTCCATGGATGCAGGACAAAGACAGGTTGAAATAAAGTGAAAGAGATGTTGCTTTTCTCTGAATTTCATTTCTCTTTATTGCAGAAGATAACATTTTTCTTCCATCTCCAGTACAGAAAAGCAACCAAGATGCAGAATTTACTCAGTGTCACTGCTATGCTTTAAAAGTTTTTTTTTTGTTTTTTTTTTTACAAGCGTCCCTTTTTTTCCATGTGTTTATCCTCCACAGAAACTGGAGTATGTACAGATTACTGTGTTAATATTTGTTGACCTGGCCTAAAAAACACTTTCCAGACATATAGCAATAAGTCCTACTCAGAAAATGTGATTATGACAGTGAAATGGGGGCAGCTCTGACAACAGAATCACTCTTTATTTATTGTAACTAATAAGATGGGGCTTGAAATAGTGGATAAGTTATTCCACTCATCACACTTTATGAGACGAAGGGTCAAATTCCCATAATGCTTCATAATGAGGACAACAGCCACACAAAATTGACTTTTCATTCAATCACGGGAGACTTGATAATGAGGCGGCGTAGCAGAGAGTCTCTCCTGCATATGGGAGTTTACTGCAAGCATCTACGCAGGTTCTGGACTGAAGGCAAAGAGGATGTTCCTGGCAAATGGAAAGTCACATGCAGCGTGACATTTCACTGACATAACACAGGGGAGAAATCTGGCTTTTCCCTAGACAGACACTAATCTGGAGTGACACTCAGCCATGGCCACTGTTGGCACTCGACCCCCAAACAGAGTCTAGCCCCCTTCTCAGACTGCAACACCATGTGACCTGAAAAGGTAACTTCCATATCCCTGATGGATACCAAACTAATCCTAATCCTAATATCCAGTCAGGTCAGATGGATGCTTTGAATGTCAGTTAAGGGAGAGTGTTTCTTCTGTCTCAGTTGGAGAGAAATGAACTTGTCCCTGACTTCTTCTATAGGCACGGACACAATCTGACACACACATTAAATAAAGAATACAACTTTCAGTCATTGTTTCTGGTGACACAGATATTGACACACTTGCTTAGCCTTGATTTATAATATTTCAGAAGGTTAGCACATAGTCAAATGGGGCTCTTTAAGCATTCCCGTTTGCACAGTATCTACATTGTCTAGCGTTCTCTTCAGTTCAGCTTAGGACTGGGATAGACATGTAAGAAGGCTGATTTTGAGTCAGGTGAACCACACTGACATTTATTTGACTAAATGTTTGGTCCATTTCACTGCTGACAGATCCATTAAACATAAACCGCTCATGTTTCTGTTTAATGGTAATATGCACCAAAATCCATTTCATTAATGCCCTGGTATTTTAAAGAGTTCATACTGTTCTGCACTTCAAAAAGGCCCCAACAGGCCCACAGTTTCATTGATTATCCACCATACGTGGGAATCAGATGGTCTTCAGCATATTTATTGTTTGTGTGACAGAAACCACCTTAAAGAGCTTCGTCTTGTGTCACCAAAGAAAATTATTTATTTTAAAGTCCCAGCAGCTTTGAGGATACACCGCATGTTGACGTTTGTTATAGTAGGAGAGAAACACATTTTTTTGTGGCATCATTCCTATAACTTCACTTCTGGCTAATGCATATCACTAGAAAGTTGAAAAGAAGTCTTGGTTACTCCACTATACCATTCAGTTCTATTACATATTTTTTAATCTCTTTTACCATCCTGGTCACTGCGTAGTTTTAAAATAAATAAGACCCCTCATGCAGTCTAGTGGCCATGTGGCTTTATTCCACGTCTTATTTGTACTCTAGGAAAACAGAAATTTATAGATTGACAATTAGCTGCTACAAACTCTGATCAACTTTAACAGAATTCATTGCACAAATTCTTAAATTGTCACTATCACTTTAATTGTGTCACCACTGATTTTGTTTAAAATAAGTGTTTTTTAGTGGTCACATGGTAATGAAAGAAATGTCCTTAAATTAAAGGTGAAATTGACAATTCCCCTTGAAGAATTGCCTTGCTGATTCTTTCTCAGATTTTCTTCACCGCCTTTTTTTTGCAAACCACAATTTTCGAGAATGACATTGTTTCTCCTCTTTCTCTCTGTCAGTGTTCCCTCTGTAACTGTGGGTGATCTGGGTGACTCACAGCTGTGTTTCCCTTCCTTACTCTCTTCCCTTTTTATCCCAATCTTCTCTTGTTGCCTCTTTCTCTGAGCTGTGGCTGTCTGCCCTCCTCAACAGCTGGTCACAGTTACACTACTCTGCCCAGGCTACGCTACGCTCAATCAGTCACAGAGCGGCAGCATTTCAGGAAGGGTGGGATGCTAAGACAAAGTAAAGAGGATATGAAACAAAGAAAAGTGACAGAAACAAGATCAGAGATTAAAAAATAAGGATCACACAAAGCTCGGCACAAAGCTTGGCAGGTAATGAAGAAGAGGCGTAGATTTCTGAAGCTTAAGATCTCAGTCACATCTCACAAGTCTGCGCCTTCTGTTCTTAAAATAGCACTTGTTTCAGTGAGGAGCGTGCAGTGATATGCACACAAAGAGGAGAGTTGAAGACAGTACTCACCACCAGCTTTGGGCTTCTCTTGGCTGGCACCACGCCTGCAAAACATCGACACAAAGACAGGGAGAGCATTAATGACCTGCGGTGCTCTTCCTCAGTCCCTTCTGGTCAGATCCTCCTCAGGACAAATGGATGAACCTTCAGGTTCGTGCTGCAGACTAGAAGGCAACTGGCCTGCTCCTCCTCCCCGTTCTGCCTCCTCTCCTCTCTCTAACTGAGCAACACACTGCGCTGGGCTGCTCGCTGATCTAAGTGATCTCCGCCCCCTTTTTCTGTATCCCGCTCCAGTCCGCGCTCCCAGCCGTGCTAACAGAGGAGCGTCACCAATCTGATTGCGTTACACAGGCTGGCCGATGCAGCAGGAGCAGCTACAGGTCGCTCTCACACCACTTCTCCTGGTGGAGTCTCAACTCTTTCTTGCACTGAAGAAGCAACATAAAAAGGGAAAACATGTCTGTGTGCATCTTCTGAGTTTCTCCAGAGCTGCTGCTTCCTCCACTCCCAACTCCACTGCTTTGCTCAGGGCTTACATTGAGAAGCTGATCTTCTCCTTCTGCGCCCCTCTCCTCGCTGCTCCCTCCCCCCTTCTCTTCTACTGTGCACCGTGCCTCGCTGTGCCTTTATCTCTCTCTCTCCATCTCGCTCCTACAACATACTGTAAAGAGTAACCAAGAAGATCAACCTCATTTGTGCCTATAAAATATTAATGCTCTCAGCCAGATGTCAGGGGAGATGACAAGCAGCATATCATTGTAGGGAATAACACACATGCCATTTAACCTTTCCAAATATCTCTCATTATTTAAGGTAAAGCATCTTCTACCTCAAATATTAGGTCTACTGAAATATAACCTGGCTTTTTAACCCACACATGACTCTTTCATCTTTTCCCAAGGCGACTCTACATCAAGCTTTTTTCTTGGCACAGAACATGGAGACAAAAATAGACAAATGAATGCATGAACGACATGAGACGGGATAGGGAAGAGGGCTTGCCGTTTCCAAGGTGATCAGGTAGTTTTGTTTTGTTGAGCGGGGGGGAGGGGTATAAATAGAACATCGTTTTAATATTAACTGTAGACCTTTCATATAGTGCATCCTGCTTTGTCTTCATGTTTGCTATAAAGAAGTAGTTGCAGATTTTCTTTCCCCTGATGGTGTACACCGAGTGTAGAGGGAATCTACCATTGACATCACTACACATCACGCAAACATCCATCCCAGGCTCCTTCTGCTGCATTGGCAAAAAAATCATTAAATGTTAAAACTCTCTGTTGCTGCAAAGCCCCTCTCCACTCAATTCATAATTTATTGCCATCTTTTTTTTTCTGTTGCACGTTCTCTCCATCTCTCAGATTATGGTGTGCCTCTTACTGGACCAAATGGATCATCTCGCCCACTGAGCAGAGGCTTAAAGCTTTTTTTTTTTTTTCTTTTCACAGGCCAAAATTTATGCAGATGTGCTTGTGGGTGCGGCTGACACAGGAAGGACGTCCATCACTGGGTCAAATGTCATGTCAATGTAATTGTTTCCTATAACAACGACTGGTTATGTGACCCATGCATTCTACACTTGACAAAGTGAAAGGTCAAAGTAAAAGACACTCCTACAAGGCAAATATATTGTTGAAGAAGAAAACCTAAAGATCACAACAGTCAAGTCAAAAGAAGAAGAAATGGCTCAAGCAGGAAGTTAACAGTCAGACCAGTGAGGTGTTGTTTGTGAACATAAAGTTGAGAAAAAAAAGCTTTCTTTATCAGCAGTTAATTCTTCTGTATTTCCACAGATCGCCTTATTAAATAAATCAATAACAACTGTAAACAAAAATTCTGCCAGCATGTTTATCCACAATAATCAGCTGTAGCAGCATTAGTTTTTCTCTGTGATTGAGCTAAATAAACCATGATATTGGTTTAGTCAGCCATGAATCAGCTGACTAAATCATTTGTGAGCCCTGAAGCTCAGAAAGATAAATCCAAGAACTGCATCATGCTACTTCATTCAGCTCTGAAGAAGCCGCCATGAACTGATTTATGCAATAGATTTGTGACATCGGCAAGTCTTTTTTATGCATGAACAAATAACAGTCCAACAGTTCAATAAAACTACAGTATTTGACTATGTTGCAGCTGCTCACATAAAAAAAAAATCTTATCAAAGATCTGATTTTGTCAGAACACAGGTAAGGAATCATGGTGCATTGATCAGGGGTGGAACATAAAAAAATCACCACAGGAGAAATGGTTGGAGTCTTCTCCACACAAACTTGGGATCTTTTTTTTTTTTTTTTTTTAAAAAATTTCCCCCAGTAAAATTTGGGGCCAGCAGCTCCAGGGAGGATCAGAATGAGTCAAAAATATTGTATATTGCATTAGCATGTAGCATAAGATTCTCACATGATAATTTAAAGTAAAAATAATAGTTTTACTATGTCATATGTACACCAAAATATTAAACAAAACATATATAACATATTCTAACTGCTTTTATTTAAAACATAGCAACACATTAGCTAACTCTTGTTAAAAATTATACTGTGCAAACAAAAACATTTTGTTTAACATACAGCAAAGACCAGATATCGTCAGGTCTGGAGTTGGTTTGGGATGGATTCTAGTTTTGATCACTGTCTTCGATTTCCTTAGTCTCATTCTTTGATTAGATAAGCCTCGTTTCCGTTTTACTCTCTTAACCACTCTAGTTTAATTATATTCCTTATACAGTATCTGCTTATTACATCTTAGTATTAGATTCATTTTCCTAGTTACCCTGTTTATTTTCCCTTGTCCCCTGTGCGATTTTATTTCTTTTTCTACTCAGCCTGCCTTCTGCTCTCTTCCCTCACACCTACAACCCGTTAGCTATCAGCTCCGGTCTTTTGATCCGGCATTCATCCCTCACGGTATTTAAAAAGTTTGTAATTTTGAAACTGTAAGATTTTTAAACTTTGGTATGCCTTTATACTGGTGTGTACAGGAACATTTACTGCAGAGATATGCCTTTTTAGGCTTGTTTGTTTTTGTAGAGATAACCGTAGGGATGTTTTAAATAACGCACTTGTCAAAATGATTGTTGCTACGTAATCCAACACAGCCCTTGCTGACTACGGAGTACATTACGGTGAAGTAAATAGTTTTATTCCCTATCTGTTTCCTAAAAAATGAAGATGATGTTCTACATTTTAACTTCCTGGGTTTCTAAAATTCAGTATTGCAGAAGAGATGCTGGGATTCTTAGACATGATCCAAATCTAACAGTGGTGAAGAAACAGAGCGGGTTCATGCTTTAGGGGCTGAATTTAATGTCAATCAAGCTGTAAATATAAGTTTTGAATGTAGGTTCAGCTGTCACCTATCTTTGTTGCCTAGCTACAGAAACCTTGACAATTGTTGGGACCACTAAGATGCGGAACAGGGCCTAACAGAAGAACTTATTATGGAGACTTAGTAGTAACCAAAAGATGTCATGATTTAGAAAATTTGTCTTGCTTTATGTCGCATGTCTAGGTGTTTAAACTCTTTTAATTATGGCTATGAAGTACTTTAGATAGTAGGTGTAGATACTTTTCTGAATTACTAGAATAAAATGTCTTATTTTGAAGGGAGACTAAGTATATCATATTCTAATTCATCCATACTTCCTTTGTCAATGCAAATATTGATTATTATAGACAACTGACAACATTTTTTTTTCTGGACACTGATAAACTTTGAAAAGTAAAAAACAAACAAAAAAAATAATTGCAAGATTACAACACCGAAATAAAAGATTGCAGGTTTTTGCAGGTTTACACGGGGAGTTGAACAGTGTGGCGTGAACTGCACTTTGAAAATGCAAGTACAAACAAACACAAACACATCCTGCAATGGAAATATTTTTTGAGGAATATTGTGGATAATAACTGGAGTTTAAACTATTGAGCAACTCATGCTGGTTCTATTAGAATGAGAAATGTAACGTCAAGCAGTTCTGCAGCCTAAGATACTAAACAAAATACCAACAAAAACAGAAAACTGGACACTTGCATAAAGGCTTTTTAACCAAAGTATTCACAAACCTGACAAGGCAAATGCGTAAAACAACGATTGTTTAGAGACCGATGCTGTGCGGATCTATTTGTTGTAAAGGTGGGGAGAAAAACTACAAAAAATATCTGCATTCATGCCAATGGCAGAGGAGGATCCTCTTTATTTCACAGAATGAAAATGTTATTCGTAAAATAGTAGGGAGGTGTGTCTGAAACACTAAGGAATTATAGCATATGCAGCATATAATTGTTTTGTCAATGCTTTTGATGTAGCATAGAGTAAGGTTTATTTTTATAATGCTTTTTTTCCAGGAATTTATTACCATCTTTCAAGTAATGTCAGAAAAAGATGACATTAATTGATTGTTTTTTCTTATCTCTAAAAAACAAGTTTTTTTATTTTCATTCATAAGTGGCAAAAACGTTAAATATTCAGGCCAAGCAACATATAGATGTTGTTGAGTGGGCACAAACGATGTACGCAGGTTTATCATTCTTTCATCCTTTTCAAAGTGAATCTGCAGCAGCTTGAATGGACCTTACTTCTCTGAGCTACTGAGGCTGTGGCCTTGGTGACTCCAAGCTGAGCCCACACGGATTGAGTGAATAGTCCTTCCTCCAGGTTTTCTATCAATTTTGTTAGAGAACACAAAAAAAGTGAGTAATGATTTGGTTTATTAAATAAAGCCCGTCAACCATTGTCCTTGCTCTCCATACAAGATTGTCCCAGTATCCTGCTGTCCTTTCCATTCATCTGCTCTAAATTATTTGGTCTTGTTAAGCTGTCGTAACAGTTCATTCCTCCACATTCATTTCCTCTTGATTTTATTCCCCTTCCTTTTGCTTTTTTATTTTCTCTCCTCTTTTTCTTCTTTTCTCTGGGGACAGAAGCACTCTGCAAGATTGTCATAGCAACAACGACAGAAAGGCAAGATGGAGGAGTTATAGCTGGCCTGCCCTCCTTTACAGGGAAGCGCCTAAGTGGGTGAGAACACTTGATGCAATCTTTAATGTTGTAGGTGATGAAACAATTATTTAATAAAAAGAAACTACTCATAATTAATCATTATATTTTTAATGGAGAAAAAAAATAATTGGAATAAAAATCTATCCACTGGTGCAGATTTGCATTTTCTGCAATTAAATAATTTCTAAAGATATATTCAATGATATATATATATATATATATATATATATATATATATATATATATATATATATATATATAAAACGAATTTTAAATAGATCAGCATTTTGAAAAGTGTTTATCTTTCAAAAGAAGTCAGCCTAATGTGTAATTAGGCTACACATTAGCCTAATTAAATGTCATTGATTTGTTAAGGTACAATCTGGTGAAGTTAATCCAGAAAAGTGAACATAACTTCTGGTGTCTAAAACTACTACTGTGTGAAAGATGTGAGACAGAATTTATAGACTGTGATTAAAGCTTAAAACAGAAACAAATAGTAGATTATTGATACAGGCAATCGGGCGACCCCTTCAGGGCATAATGACCTGGGGCGGGGGTCTGCAACCTCGATCTTTCACAGTAGCTCTGGCTAAAATGTAGATTTTAGCTATTTTTACATGGAATAATTACTTTGAATGACATTAAAAGTACCAGTAATATTTTTTGATCTATTTTTTCTGAAGGTAGGTGCCTTAATTTGTTTTTACAAATATCACCCTTGCATTATATAAAATGTATCCGTTCTCCTTTTGTTATGTTTTTCTTTTTTCATCAGAGGTAAATAATTTTTTAGACTGACAACATATTCCCCATTGTAGCTATTCATTAAAAACTAGAAGTTGTCTTTTTAAAAGGATGTAGGATGCAGTTCTTGTGACGAAACCCCATCAGCAGCCAGCTGAAACTGATCTACACACTATAACGTAAGATCGATCGGCATTTCATTTCTATTTTTGAGTTATATGGCTGAGTTCTTAATACTTAACTTTTTAACTGACTGTTTGTTTTGGGGTTTTTTTAAACACAGCTACCCAGACATGATTGCAAAACATTCAGGCATCCCTGTTCCTTTATCGTTCCATGATCTATATCAGTTAGTCTTTTTTTTTTTGCAGAATAATGTTCAGCTCCTGCTCTATTTGTATAAAGTTACAAAGTTCAGTTTAGAATGATGCCGTCAAAGTGACAAGGATAGACAGAAATGAATCACAGAGGATGTTTTTAATCTGCTGTGAATCTTTGAAAAAAAATTCTTTAACTTATATGAAGTTCAGGTTTTAAGCATCTCCTCACCAAGTAGAGCTGTAGTAGCATGTGTACCTCATATTTTGTATAGACAGCTGTCACCTAAAAAAAAAAAAAAAAAAAAAAAAAACTTGCATTTTGTAGTCTTTTTTCCTCTTAAAAGCTGAGTCTGCTCACTCTGAGTCAGACAGCAGAGATTGATGAATTGCTGATAAACAGATTAGGGCTTTTTCTTCTCTCGATGAAGCCTACCTTATTCCTCCTCCTCCTCTTTCTCCCCCTGCTATCTGTCTCCTGTACATCTCCGAAACCAATCCTCTCATACACGCTTCCCTTTGGTGAACTTCCCGCTCTGCTCAGCAAATCTCACCCTCTCTCTTCTCTAATCCTCCCCCTCCACTCCTTCAAAGCATGATCCCTGCTCCTCTTATTCCCATGCACTCCTCTTACAACTCTGTTTTTAGCTACAGTTGACCAACACACCAGCTCTGGAGTGAGAATAAACTCACAGATGAATCCTCAACCGTAAAGTCAACCAGAAATCTCATTGGCAGGAGCTTTCAGAGAGTTTCATTAAATACAGCAGAAGTTTCTTCTATGATAAATGTATTATTTACAATTATTTTTCTGTTCATGCAATTTACTGTTACTACATATGTAAAGCTGCTGTCTCATCATGTATATTAAGTGTATCAGAAAACACATTTTATGTAGGTCTAAACATGAAGAAATAAAGTTTATTTTGTAAATTGGTTTCCTAGAGTTGTCAAGTTATAGTGAAGGAAATTAATATGGAAACATATCTGAATGCCCTATCATGTACTTCTGGTATTCAGCATGATGAGGTGAGTGAATCTATAGACAAAGCATCTAAATTACACAATGAGAGATCGTTGCTGTGCCTGCTGAGCAACTTTTGCATATGTTGTGCATATGTTCCACGGCATCTCAGACGCAACACTTGTGCTACATTACAAAAAAAAAAAAAAAAAAAAAAAAGGGAAAAGGCAGCCTGCTTTGGCTTCAGATCTATTCATAATCAGATGTGGCAGAAGGCATTGCAGGAGTGTGAATTACTTTGAACTGAGTAGTTCTGCACATTACTGAAATACAAAGGCATAAGCAAGGACACAATAGTGTAACAGGACTTATTCAGAGTTACTTATATCTGTAAAGTAATTAAGCTAAGAGGAAAATGGCATGTATGCAAAAAAAATATCCCAATGAAACTGAAAACTCTCCACTGTTTATTATTGTGGACACTAGCAAAATTTTTGCCTGATAATTACAGCACCTTACTAACTGATAATCAACTGCTTTCACAATCTGTTTTGGTCTTTATGGCTCTGCAGTTTTTCTGTCATTAGTATTACACAGACCAGAACTGATGGAATTAGCATTAGCAATCCCATCAGTTCAATCCTTCAATCCAATAACTTTGTCTACAAGTTGCAGTTTGATCTATAATTTATAGACAAAGTACACATGGATAGGTTGGAAATTAAACATTTCTGGAAAAACCCACAACAAATGTCACTGAAAATTTGCACAAAATGCCCTGCCAGATTAGTTGCTTATTTCTTATATTTGAAATTGAAAGCATCCAAACAAACACTTGGAAATAGCAGTGTCTCCACCCCTCATCACCTAGTCACTCACCTGAACACACAGTTATTACAGGTTGGTGTTAAAGCCAGCAGATATGATCTACGAACCTGCCAGTCACCCTGCCAGCTCCGGTGACTTCTGGAGCCTCCAACCCATTTATCCTCTCATTTATTCCCTCTCTGTGCTTTTGCCCTCAGAGCTTGCTTCTGTACTATTCGTCTTCTCTCTCCTTCACACACACCCACACACAGAGGTTCGTAATGATGCTGACATTTAACACAATACAGCAGTTATTCCAGCAGCAGTGCACAAGGTCAACTCATTAGATCTCATAATTGATGTGTGGTGCATATCCCAAGCTGCCTTCAATACAGCAATCACGTGGTTAGAAATTTAAGGTAGAGGAATCTGAGGAACCTTGCATGCTTGTGTCTGTTTGAATACTTTATTCTTTAGCTCATGTTTTTTTTTCTTTTTTGACATCTTCTAGAGATGAACAAGTGTACTGATTGAACAGGCAAGAAGTACAGTTTGTAGAAACTCGGAGTCTATTTATAAGCCTGGAAATGAAGGCCTTTCCGAAAGCTCCATACGTTAAAGTGCCTTACCTCTTGAATGTTTTCACGTTCTCACGTTAGGGGCACAACTTTAACACATTTTACTAGGATTCTAAGCGACCCGTGAACAAACAATAGTGCATAATTGTTAAGTAGAAAAAAGAAAATAGGGAGGCTTTTTTGTTTGTTTTACAAATAAAAGTCTGAAAAGTCTGAAAAGTGGAGCATGAATCCTGTATTCATCCCTTGAGTCAATGCTTTTTTCAGAACCACCTTTTGCTGTTATTGAAGCTGAAAAACTTTTGAGATGTGGCTCAAAGCCTGAAGATTTTCTCTCTTTACTTTTGTAAGACACTGTTATACGTGATTTCAACAGTGAATATAACATGAACCATTATGTGGAAAGCACATTAATCCACAAACGAAGACAAAGCTTGATCCACTCTACTTCATGTCAGGTAGTGATTAGGTGTGGAAACATGTGAAACACATCCAACTATTGCAGGGGCAGTTTAAGGTGACAAACATTTACCAGTGATCTACGAGCCTCTGACCTAATGCGCAGCAATTTTCTCCCCATCATTCATCCATCCTCCCACTCTTTCTCACACTCCTGTACCCCCACCTCTGTACCTTTCCCCCTCCCATCCTATCCAGTCTGAGCGTTTTCATCCTGCAGCCCACTCTCTTTCTCTCTCTTCTCCATTTCATTGTGTCACTCTCTACTTGCCAACTATTCAGACAGTTGTCTATTCAGCAGATTAAGCTATGTTCTCTTGTGCACTTCATCTCGCGGCATGTCATGTCAAAACTTCACTTCCTGCAGACATTCATCATCTTCATACACTGAGATGTCACACGTACCTCTTTGCACTAACATGGTGACTTCGCTGCCTCTCGGACATTTGCTGAGCAGATCCACCACTTGGTTGTGGCTCATATTCTGGACATTTCTCTTGCTGACCTCCATCAGGATGTCCCCCTCTTTCAGGCCACGGCACCGAGGATAGTCCACGATCTGCTTGACCCTCTGTCCACCTCCCGTCAGACTGTCAGCGATGGTGAACCCAAACCCTTTGTCTCCCTTCTCCATGTGGATGGTGATCAGTTCTGGCTGGGTGGCAATGGCTGAAGCCAGGGTGACCACATCACTGGAGTAGCCGTGTGAACCATTGGAGGCTACCTCGGCCAGGGGGCTGTGCGGCCGTGGCTCTCGCATTCCATTGATGGGTCCGGCCTGGTTGGTGGGTGCGTCAAAAGTCTCTTGTCCATTGACAATGATCGGCTCTTTGTCCAAAATCGCCACAGATGTCACTAGGCTGGTGTTGGGGTCATCGGGGTCAAACGGCAGCGGATAGCCACGGCATAAGGATAGGTCCACCATTGAGCCGATAGGGATGGACTGGAAAATCTTCACCACCTGTGCATGAGTGTAGCCCAGCACGATGGTGTCATTCACACTGACGATCACGTCACCTGCAAAAAGGAAGACGGTATCTTCAGCAATGTTTCTATTGGCCAGTAAAAACTCATTTGTTACTGTTTGTTATTAGTTACACAGTAGTGACATTTCAAAGGTAAGTTGTTCAAAAACACCTTTGTGGGTTTCTGAATGAAAGCAGTGCCCTCTTTTGATGAAGGCTGTGTACTACACCTGTCTCCATTTTGCCATCCACAGCTGCAGGCCCGTCCAGGACCAGACTTTTGATCTGCAGGAACTCATCAGGCTCGTCACCTCCAACTACCGTGAAGCCGAATCCACGGCGGCTTTTCTTCAGCTTGGTATTGATGAAGGTTCCTTTCAGCTCTGCAGGATTTCTGGTGAAGAAAGGTTTCCCTCCTGGAGAAAGCAAACAACAACTCATAAACTCTGGGTTCAGAGAGCACACAACTGCATATAATCAACAATAAATTACATAGGGAGCACAAAGTATTTATGAAAGACAATGGAAATTGACTACAATATGGAGGAAGAAGGAAGTTATGATTAATTATGAGTGGAAAAACATAAATGTATGGAAAAGTGTAGTAGTGATGTTGGTTTAAAGGACTGAAGAAAAGCCATAATATACATATATCCTGATAAGAATGGTGAAATTAAGATAAATTAAGAAAAAAAAAGTATAAATATAAATAAATATAATAAAACAGCAATAAAACAAATAAGCATATACGATGATTCAAAATCCGATTAAAGAAAAAAAAAATATGTAAAATATTCTACTGCCAGGATATATAATTTCATTTGCTGGACAAAACCAAGTAGCACTATAAAAAGTAACCTGTCACACATGCCACATTAGTAAAATCAAGTAGAAATATCTACAAGTGAGACTCACTCTTAACTCCAACCGGGCCAGGAGGTAGAGCTGGTGGGACTTGTGGGTCCCTGTAGGTCTCCAGGTGGTTTGGAGCATAGCTTGCCAGTGGAGCTGCTGCTGATGAGTGTTCCTCTATCCACTCTGCACACACATCGGTCATTCCCACTTTAATCCCATACTTACCGTACGCGTGCTGAATTTATTTATATGTAACATGAACACACATAAACAGCACACAATAAACACAGAGCTTAAAGCAAACTCTGCATGTATCCATTTATTCAAGTAACTATTTCAAAAAGTGAAACTTGGATAGGTTCGTTACACGTAGAATTATTTCAAGTGCTTAACTGATTAATTTTGATGATTATGGCTTACAGCTCAATTTTTTCTGAAAAATGTAAACATCACAAAGTCCTCTTTTTAGATGGATGTAAATGTTGCATTTGATCTCACAGTAACAGGGAACGTTTCAACAGTCAGCAGTGCTTTGGGAATCACGGTACGTGGTGTTGTTGGTCCAACGTGCTTTAATAAGTCCAAAGTCAGCACAGCTGTTAACAAGAAATGCAAGACAACTTCATGCTGATTAATTTTCCCAGCAGGACGTGGCACCTGCCAAATCTTGACAAAAGTAAAAACTGAGTAGAGAGAAACTAAGTATCATGATCCAGAAGCAGATGAGAGTCACCAGAATCCACAGTGCAGATGAGCTGAGTGCTGCTGGTAAAGCAACCCGAGTTTCTTCAACAACTCAGCAGAATCACAGGCTAACAGCCTCCATCCCACACCTCACTGATGCAGGAATTCATACACTAGGAGACCTGACAGCGTAATGAATGCACGTCCTGTAGAGTAAATGGATGTACTTTCAGTAGGCGGCCACTTTTGAATTAAACAAATGAAGTTTTGTTCTTATTTATTTTTTTAAAATTTCTTTGTGGCACTAGTGGCTTTATTGGCATTTACCAAAGAGAAAAGATCTCAGGTTGGGAATTGAACCCAAAGCGGCCATGTCCACTACAACACCCAGGGTCCCATTTCTGTTTATCTACATTTTTCATCACATTTAATTCTATAAGCCATTATCATCAAAATAAGCAAAAACAAAAATCACAAATGTCTCTTTTTGAATCCAATTATTGAAATTAGTGACCTTTTTGGTAATACTCTAATTTACATACAATAATTACTTTCATTATAACCAAAATTTTACAAAAATTGGAGAGATAAAAAAAGGTATTTTACACAGACATACACTAAAATTACATTCACTAGAATTATAAGTACGAGTAGTATTCAGTTCAAACATCACAGTTTTACAACAACAGAGAAAAAGTGAACATCCCCCCTTTGTTTATAATGATGTGATACTATGATGATCAAATACAAAATGGTATTTATGGCTAAAAAACACATAAATTAAAACCTGAACTTTAAAGACAACACTAGGACTTGGGCCAGCTTAATTTTGGTAAAACCACAAGTAGCAAAATTTGGAAAACCTTATTATTTTTTTATTATTATTATTATTTGGAGAGAACAGGTTAAAAGCAACAACAACAAAAAAAAAGAAAAAACAAACAAACAAACAAACAAAAAAAAAACAGAACAATGAGGAATAATAAATTCTGGCCCAACTCCTGGCAAACACCAGACGAACAAGAAGGACATGACACTGACAGACATGAAGAAAGAAAGAAATGGGCAGGAAACGAACCTCGGATATACCGCTCACCTTCTGGAGGCTGCGGCGGTTGCTGCTGTTCCAGGATTTTTTGACGCCGCGCCTCCAACACTGGGTTCTCATACTGGGTCTTCCTGTTTATATGGCTTTGGAAGACAAACATAGGATAAAGAAAGAAATCACAGTGATATAAAACATAATTGTACCTGTAATGTCAGGAAAAAAAAAAAAAAAAGGAAAAAAAGCTTCACCAGTATGTTTTTATGGAAAAGAATGACCGGATTTGCAAGAGGACTTTAAAAGTGACAGAACCCACGTTTGTATTTATGAAGTGATGTGTTAATGAGGTGATTAACTTACTCCACATAATACACTCCATACACCGGGTCATCTATTCTCTCCCATCCTGGAGGCAGCTCTGGAATACAGAGAGCACACAGCATTAGACATAAACACTCCTTTCTCAGTCATTAGCACAGATGAGATAAGACCAGTGGTTGGTTTAGAGTGATCTTTATTTGTCTTTTTTTCTGCTTCCAGCATAGTTTGTCAGAACATGTTTTTTTTTTTTAATCGAAGTTGAAATAGTCCAAAATATGTCCTCAAAATTACAACCAATAACAACAAATTACTCTACAACCATTTTACTACTACTGCATTTTATGAGATCACAGCAAGAACAGATTGGACGCCAAGAACTCATACAACTTTTAATGGATCCATGTTTTACTTTTATTAGTTCAGTTAAATACACCCCATTTGTTTAAGGACCATTATGTTCTTTATGGCTACAATAGTTATAGCCAAAATTTTACAAAAAACAGAGAGATAAAAAAAGGTATTTTACATAGGCATGAACATTGCAGAACAAATAAAGAGCTAGACAAACTATAGAAGATTTGCTTTACTTCAGGGTGAGCATCCTTCATTTTTGATGTGACTTTTTAAACTATGCTTAAAAGCTGTATGAGATGTTCAGCTGGAATTTCCCAGTAGCTACTTAGTATTTTTAACAATTGAGGTGCGTCTTTCCAAGGAACATAAAACCAAAAAATAGTGAGGATGTGGGAAAATGTTTGAGCCCACTTGTACAATATTTGACTCTGTGGTTTTAATCAAAACCAGAATGAGTTAAACTAATTATTAATTTATTTTTTAACAACTTCAGTGTTGTGTTGTTTTAAGATTCTGCTGAAAGAATATTTGTTCAAATCAGTCATCAAAAGTCCAACATCAAGCTAACATTCATTCAAATTATAAACATATGTAAACCTCTGACCCTGAAATTTCTTTAAAGGTTAACTTATTCACATTTTTTCCCTCAGTCTTCCTCGTTAGAGCACATTGTTCTGACCAGCTGTTCAAGTTTACCCCTGGTATGCACCATACTTATATCTATTGTATCTGTGGCCACACCAGGTGATTCAAAATAATACATAAACTTAGCACACGAAGTAAGGAAATTTGTGTTTTCTTGACTTTTTCTTGGTAGTAAAAATGGTTCTTGATGTCAAATTATATACCGGTACAAGACATGTTTAATTCAAATGATGCCACAATTGAGAGGTATATCCCTTTGTACTTTAAGTAGCAGGTTTGAGCATGTGTGTTGCATCCTTAAAAAAATAAAAATAAACAAAAAATTGTGAAATACTTTCTCTCAAAGCCACACAGCTTTTGGTTGAAGCAGTGTGATGTGTGGGGTGGAATCTCCCTCCCTTACAATAAGACAAGTTGTCAACGTTGAAAATGTCAATGCAGATAAATATCAGGATGAGATTCTGTAATCAGTGGCAATCATTGGCTTTATTCTCAGTAACTGAACTAAATATTTTAAGATCCCAATGGCTGCCCCTACAGGTCAGTATTTATCTCAAAGATCCTCCAGAATTTGGGAGTGGGGAGGATGGAACGGTCTGCCTGCAGTCCTGACTTCCACCATGCTGAACACTCCTGGGGTCAGATTGAGCACGCCGTTTGCACAAGACTAACCAACACGACCACATTAGATGACTTGTGACTTTCTACACCTGGTATGATGTTCCGTTTAGCCGTAACACCGTCCTGGAAGGAGCCATTAACTGAGACAATGCTGCCAACAGCTAAATGTTCTCCCTCTCCTGCTAGTAACTTTTTACTTTTCATTAACATAAGTAGTCCTGTGGTAGTTTTTCTGTTTTTTTTTTTTTGCACATTCTGCTTTGTCTTCTCAAACCACCAGTTGGTTGTAGCAGATGGCTGATCGTACCAAGCCAGGTTCTGCTGGAAGTTTCTTTCTATTAAAGTGGAATTTATCCTCTCCACTGTCACTACATGGTTGTCCAGGAGGAGTGAATACTTCAAGTCAATGACTCGATGCAACCAGTTGTGTTCCCTTGAATTGGAAAATGGTTTTCTTTGTCAAATTAAATCACAAACTAAACTTGACTGTGCATGAGGACACTGTACACAACTGTTGTCTTCTAGTGATGGTAATACTTGTTCAATGCATAATCTGGTCATTTGTCAATGAGCTCTGTTTCTTCAAACATCCATATTCACCACCAAACAACAATCAGTAGCAGAATATGCAAAAAAATTTGCAGTTTTTCCATAAGTGCAACCTCTAAGCAGATGTTCAACCCACTAATACATTTCCTTACAATTGTGGCACTATTTAGGGTGACTAAAGTAGGTTTTTCATTTATATGAAAAGATTTATTACAACACGTATTAATACAACAAAGAAATAAATCAATCAAACACAAATGTGTTTTTTGTGTGAAGATTATACGTCACAACAATGTCTCGAAGAACAAAAATACATAAGGGAATAAAAGATTACAAAAAAGACGAGTTTTAATGACTGCGATTTTTCTGTTTTATCTACCTGAATAAGGAAAAGAAATCCTGTGTAATATGTTACAGTTTAAACACAAAATCATAAAACCGTACCTAGATCACTCTCCAGGTCTTCCGTATGTATCCCTTCTTCTCCAATATTGAAAGCAGGATGAAACACAGGTGAAAATAAAATGAGGAATAGAAAAAAATATGCATGGAAGAAAAAAAGTTGGTTAGGAATGGAGGAATCGAGAGCAAATAAGGAATGAGGTGACAATCCAGAGAAAGAAAAACAGGGGAACAGGAGACCCTTAGAAATGGGTTAACCTGAAATTTTACAGCAGCCTTTTGGCAATCTAAAGAAGTGATGTGTTTCCTTTTTATTTCACCACTTGATGGTGCAATTTCACAACACTGCACATAACTCAAGTGTCATTTGGATTTCATAAAGCACTTCTTTATTGTTATGAAGGAATATGTCAGTTCCAATGACAGTAGCCTCATGAGAAATCTATGGCACATTCCCAACACATGAAATGTTGCAAAAGAAACCAAATCAAAGCTCGAAAACATTATTAGAAATCAACAATGGCATCACTCAAAACACAAGAAGAGACCTACAACTGAGAGCCCATAACGTCTTTAAACCACTACACAGAACTGTGCATATACAATGTAACGCTCTAAATAATGTCTGGAGACTTACCATCATCATCACACTCTTCCAGAGGCCGGGGGGCTTTGTCTCTACACCGAGGATCCAGCCAGGATGTGGTCTTTGTGTTGTGGCTGAGAGGAAATAAACAAAACAACACAATAATTCAGCAGCAAGCAAACAATCTGTCATATCAAAGCACAGCAGGGGCACCTGAACACATCAATAAAAATTAGACAAAAAAGAAAATATGTCAGCAAGTTTGCAGAAGACAGACGCCGCCTGCTGCAAACACGAAAGAACATTGGGGACACAGGCAAGGAAACCATAAACAGCCTGATTTTTTTTTTTTTTTGTCTCTACTGCTAGGTGAAAGCAAATTGCAATTTAGTGATAGCAGAAATGCACATACAAGCTCTGAAAACACACAGCCATGTCCTGGTGGAGAGTCTTTGCCGTGCTGCAGAGGACAGAGAGGTGGAGGTAGTCAGGTAATCAGGATGTGATCTCCTTTTGAGATCGGGACATGCAGGGATTAACAGGAAAGCAGTTGCACCCAGGGGGCTGGGCAAGCCGACAAACCAAATAATTGTGAAAGACAGGCCAATAGGCCAACAAAAGCAGCAAAAGTGGAAATAAAACAGAGTAGAAACACATACAGCAGAGGCTAAAAAGAGAAAGACTTACTCAGGCACTGCCAAGGCTGCGTTCAACAGACACAACTTTTAAACCGTTCAAGATGTGGATACATACTCTATGAAGTACAGTTCCCCGTTCTCGGTGTAGGCCATCTCCCAGTTTTCGGGCAGCGGTCCCAGAGGGTCCTCTGGAGAGACTTGGGGCTCTGCAAGCGTCTGCTGCCCGCTCTCTGCAGTGGAAGTGGCTGCATTGTTCAGACCACAGGGTAGAGCATTATCACGCACGGGGTACGGCCGGAGGATGCCGCTGCGGCTCTCGTCCTGGTCGTTAGGGTTACCTGTGCACAACAAAGGAGAGGGGAACAGACTACGCACTAAGGATCCTGGGTGACACAATGAGCACGACACGGAACAAGAGAAACGGGAGAAAAAAAAAATCATAGTTTGTTTTGTGCATGCAAGATGGAAGAAACTGACGTGCTCACTAATTTCATGCAACTTCAGTCACATCAAACTCCCAGAAATTCCCTTCCCCCAGTTTACCTCTAGATTATTACTAGTGTAAGTAAAGGGGTAACAGGATATGTTAATTCCTACAGCAACAGTCCCTAACTCAATTTGACCCCCACCCATTTTGCCTCCCTAGCAGTAAGTGTTTTTTTTTTGTTTTGTTTTTTCTCTATTTAGGCTAGACCAACCCCTTATTCCTACTTGCTTTCCCCATTTTGGCTAGTTAAACTCCAACACTTCTCCAGGCCTTTCACTGGCTGCTCAAATGCAAATGCAACGCAGGCAGCCCGGCAGGGGGATAAACTGAGTGAAAAGATTCAAAGCATCAAAGAAGAAAGAAAATAAAAGCAGACGTCCCTCACACTCCAAACAGGTTGAAGACAAGCATGGGAAATACAGTCGTTTGCGAGAGTGTTTATAAGCCTTGGTCTTTTTTAGATTTTCTCCACATTACAGCGACAAATTTAATACTGGGATTGTATGAAATTTACTATCAAACAAAGTAGAGTATAATTATGAAGTGAACAAATAACATTTTCTACATGTAAAAATCTAATGAATTGGTGTTTCATTTGCACAGCATTTGCTGAATACATTCATTTAAATTGCACTGACAGACAGACTTAATACTTTTTGTTGTCTGTCACATAAAATCCCAATAAACACAAAACGTTTGTGGTTGCAATGTCACAAAATGCAAAAAAAAAAAAAAAAAAAAAAAAAAAAGTTGGAAATTTTGGTTTTTAGAGGTTTTTTTTGAATTTGTTTGAAATTTTCATTTTTTAAAAA